TTTTTCCTATTTATTTTGATTTTCCTGTTGAAAAGGAGTAGTTGGGTTCTCATACTCTGTGATTCTGTGAGAGTTATGTCCCCAGAAAGAACCACTGTGTGCTATAGTTCTCTAGGAGATTCTGTTGAGCAGCTTAGGCAAGCTTTGAATGTTACATGTTTTAGCAGATATTAGGTATTTTTATTTAGTTAACATGAAATACAACATTTCATTATCCTGTAAGCACTCCAGTGATTTTCATTTTTTACCATTATTCTGAACCTTGGCATGGAACATGAGTTTACTGAGGACTGCTTGTTCAAAGGCAGCGACTCAGAGTGTAACAACAACAAAATAAATAAGACCGAACATTTCTTTCCACTGAATTTGATTCAAGATCCAAGAATGAAGAAGATGACTCACATTATCCAAATGCTACACAAAGTTTTGGAAAATGGCATATTTTTTCTGCATTTCTTTCTGCACAAGCTGTCTTTTGGCCAGGAGTTTTGTGAAAAAGATAGATGGCTAAATTTCGGCGCACTGTCTAAAATAAAAGTTTTTATTTTTTTTTAATGAGGGTTGGACTTCTGTTTGCCTACGTTACTTTTGAAAATAGAATTTCTATTTCTCAGTCACCAATGCAATGCTACACAGAGCGTTTCTAAAATAATTTTAAAGGTCAAAGCATGCTGCATTTCAGTTTTCCAGCTGTTGAATAAAATGGAGATAATAGAATTACCCTAACAAACATGAGAATAAAGATAACATGAGGCAATTATAGATTATGCTATTTGAAGCCAATAGTTGATAGATATTGGCAAATTAGGTTCACTTCTTAGGTCTTTTATCAGCGAATTTCAAATAATCGTTCAAAGTGCTACACATGTGCATTTAAGCTGTGGGAAAGGACATGTTCTTGTTATGTTACACTGCATTGTACATTTACCAGGCATGAATGTGAAGCAGAGAGTTTTGTCCACCATGCATGATTTTGTATGTTTTAAGAAAAGGAAGGGGAACAGGGGTGAAATGTCCATAGTTATAATGTCATTTAAAAAAAAAATATTAAAATGTGGTTTGGCACTAAGAGTGACTTTGTAAAAATGTTGCCCTCTTGCACAACATATCTGCTCCCTGTGGGATTTCAGTCACATCTGCTGACTTGTTGAACAACAACATTATTACCACTTCTTGCTTCTGTGAGCTCTGCAGAGCCAGAATGAAATGTGTTCAAATCTGTTCTTCCTTCTGTGCAAACAACAGGTTTCCTCATTTACTTCTAAGCAGCTACAGTTCATCAGCTGCAGAAGAACTAATAGACTGCACAGCTTGTAGTTTGTATTATTAACAGTGACTTTCAGAAAGGGATGATGGATTTTACCTCTCTGAGGTTCTTTATTTTATTATTTATTTTATTATTTATACAGCTGCCCTTTTGCACAGAGGTGCACATTAAAGGCAGGCATAGGAATAGAAAGAGTGAAAGAAATATCCTATGATCCCAGGGGCAGGCACTAGCAGACCACTTCTAGAAGTGGTCAAAGGAAGCCTCTTTTCCATAAGTTTAAATTCTCTGTGTGAGGATCTCCGCCTCCAGTTGGAAGTTTTGAAAGATTCACACACTGAAGGATGTTGAAAATCACTAAGTTTATGGAAGGACTGCAGATTCACTGTGAATAGAGACAAGATCTGAGTCTCCTTTAGTCTTCATCTTTTTCCAGCAAATAGTTTTAATTTTGCTCACCTTACCAGCTGCTCAGCTGCTCATTAATTTGGTTAAAAAATACCACTAGTGAAGTGAAATTGCAATCTGCTTTGGCACTGGCAGAAAAGCATTTGGAGCAGTCTATGTCTCACTTAACAGACCTACTTACTGTGGCAGTGGACTATTTAAGCACCTGTTTAAAGTCTTAGTTCAGCAAAACATCAGAGAGAAGGAATTACCGAAAAAAACCAAACCCCTCCAACCTTTATATGTGTATATAAGAACTGTAATGCTACTGTCAAATTAATTTATGTAATGAAAGGTATTAAAAAGGTGGGATATTTTAACTTTACAACTGCAAGCATTTTTGCCTGCACGTCTCTGTTATGAAGCTCTGTCTCCCTTAGGAAGTGGAGGATCAATTAGACCAACATCATTACTGACAAATACTTACAAGACTTAACAGCCTCCATAAGCCATGGCTTCCACTAGCTGCACTCAGTCTCAGAATGCATGAACACATCTGTGTTAATCATGTCTGGCTGTGTAAAACAAACATCAACCTATGCTTAAGGGACTCTTAAGGATCACACCATCTCAGGAATCCTGTTTTGGATTCTACTGTGATACCCCAGACAATGGAATTGGTGTCTGGAACTCCTGAAACTCAGGCTTGCACTGGAGCAGTGGGTTTTTATTCTTTCATTGGCCAAAATGTCTGCTACATGTAAGTGAGTATTAATGACTTGCTGTGGGTATATGCATTACATATTGTCATTTTGACAACAGATAACGCTGATCCAAAAATCCTACCAGGTGTGTCACTAGCATCTGGTGCTGCCATCTGCTGTTTCCTTCTTATCGAGTTAACTACCTAAAAACAAGATTTCAGTGATCTTACTTTACTGTATTGTAATGCATTTTAACACAGCATGAGTCTTGAAATTTTTTGTAACAATATGTTGAAGTTGTATCTTGCTCTAGCATAAAGTTATCTAGTCACTTGTTAAAATGAAGACTTCTTCAGATCCTGTGTAATTCCGATGAAGATGGGAGGTCACTGACAAACTGCCTCAGTTGCAGCAGTTTTGACCACCTTCTTAAAACACAGACTAATATAATTGCAAATGTAGAAAGTTAGCTGACAGTTAGATGTTAGTTAGGACAGTGAATGGATGTTTTGAATGAAACTTTATCATTGGGGATGACCTAGCTTCCTGCTGTTCTGGTTTTACACAAATGCCATGTTCATTATTTCTTTTAAAAGATAGCTTATCAGGAGTAAAATGAGATATTTTAATGCTTCCAGTGGAGTAAAATATTTAATTACCTGCATCATCTGGCATAATTACCTAGCTGTTCAAGGAAATTTCATACACAGAGATATGACCAGTCCTAATGTTAGTCTGTTGTGTCAGGGCAGAGGCAGAAAGCTCTCCAGAAGGCTGTGAAATCCACCTTTGGATGTTCATGAGGGCCACACCACAACTTATGCAAAATTCCTCTTACTTTCCAGAGAGGAATGTGTGGGAAGGGTTGCTTTCACACAACTCGACACTGTTAAGTTTTTGTACCAATCTTTTCCCGAATCTCCTTTCCTTCCTTGGGCGATTTAAGCCTGCAACGAGAGCTTTGGCCTACAGCAGGAGGCCTCCACTCCTCCTAGTAAAATACATGGATAATTAAACAAATAGTGGGGGGCTGAGCAGTCCTGAATGATAAACATTTATGGAGGCTAGTCTGCGAGTCAGTTTTACTGAGTGTACTTAAGAAGTTAAAAGCTTTGTGCAGTAGAGAAGGATTTGACCTCATTTAACACCATAACAGCAGTCTGGGGCTAACCTCAAGTAATGCCAGGTCTATTGAAAATACATAGTTGTGTAGCCCTCTGAGCTAAATAACTTCATTCATGGTCACGCAGACATACTTAGCAGTATTGGAGAAAAAAAAAGAAAATACTGAGACACCAGAGGAAAGCCTAACTGCACTGTTAGCTATTTGTACATATTTTTATAATAACACATATCCTCAGGAACAGACCTTCCTTGCAACCCTTTTTAAAAATGAAAAACAAAGCAGTGAGCAGACAGCCTAGCCACTGGTCTGTGAGTAGTTTGGGTTGGAAAATTGTGGTGATTCCAGAAATAGTTTAGTTTTAAACTGCAGGCCTCCAGATGTGACATTTGGGATAGGCACACTCTAAAGAGAAAAAGAAATGATGGATAAAGGTAATCAGCTGAAGAAACTCCAAATAAAGCTTATCATACCTCAGGTTCCACAGTTAAGCAGTGAAAGAGCTATTACTACTAATTGTAAGGATATTTTCCTTCAAGTTTGTGGATGTTTTTTTTAGCTTTTTAACACATGTCTTCGCAAAGGATGATTTGTGTATGTAATTGATGTATGGGGATTGGTCAAACTCATTACATTTCAGGAAAAAAAAAATCCATCCTTTGAGTGATCTGATTCCTTTTAATTTATTTTGGTCTCTGCTATTGTTTCTGTACAGTTTTCAGTTGTGGAAGTTACAAAACAAAGACATTTCTATTTGAATGGATTTCATAAACTTTTTTTCAACAAATAGGATTTAGTTGTGAATTAGTCCTAATTGATAACTTTGGAAAATTGAATCCTCTATTTAGCTGCAGGCTTGTTTTTGCTTTGTCAGTACACAAAGCCCACGTATAAAGGCTTTGTCAGGATCTGGAGGGTTCAAAGCACTGCTTATTAAGTCTTCAGGTTTTCAGGTAAGACTAACGAAAAGACCATCTCAGAACTGTGGAAATGTATCCAGATGGCACTGGATGGAGATCACTATCTTGCAGGTCTCTGGCAGCTTTTCAATAGTAGGATATCACAATTAACTTTAAAATGAATGTAATGGGTTTGATCAAAGCAGTCAGAGAAAAAAGGTTATATCTATTCTCTAGGGAAATATTTCTAAGATAGAAAACTATTTTATTTTAACCACTATATTTCTGTGCATATGTGATATTTATTTACTGTATTTAATTTGTAAGTGATTTTTCACTTGTCTCATATCAGGACTTGAAGCTATACATTTGATTTTATTATACTGCCCCATAGGGTGGAAATGTTTGTGACAGTACAGGCTAAGTAGGCATGATTTCAATTTGTACTAGGATTCATTTTTCCCATTCTGGTATTATATACAGAGTCCCTACAAACCAAATGTAAATCAAGTTGGTCTTTCCTAATTTTAAACCAATAAATAATATACTTTATTCAATGGCAGGAGCCTAACTCATGAAAAGTAGAGAGGAAAATGTGTTCCCAGTGGTTTTATACCTAACATTTTTTAGAAAACCATTTCTAAAATGCTCTAAGCATACCCATATCAAGCATGCACACTGAAATGAGTCTCCTGACGACAAGAGTTTATAATGTATTATCTTTATCTAAAGGTCTCTAGAGCTTAGAAAGAAACATAGACTGCCTTTGAAAGACTTTGTATCTGGACCCAGAAGAGCCCTCTCTCCAAATCAGACAAGATCTAGCTTAAAAGCTGAAGTAAGGAAGTAGGTGAAAATTGATAATGAAAAATGAGATGGCATTCTTAAAACAGCTGTTGCTATATTCAGCTATGAATAGGAAGAGAAGGCTACACACATAAGTATATATTTATATAAAATATACATATAAAAATACTTTCTTATCAAAGATTGCTAAGGAAATTCCATTTGAAAGTTAAGAGGACGAAAATGTCCTTGGAAAGACTGTCTTTGGATAAGTTATATGTCAATTCACTGTGAGAACTTTCCAGATGAAGTTCAACTTTTCTCAGCAAAAATATACTTTGTAGAGTGTTATTTCTTCATGTAATTGCATTTACATATGTGATACAGGAAAGAAAGCTTATGCAGATAGTTCACTAATGACATTTTCAGACTTTAGCATAAATGCAACAAAAGCTGCCCAGAATTACTTGAATACACTGATGGGCTGAGAGAAAGAGTCATAAATACTGGAACAGGTTATGCTTTGTCTTACACAGAAGCAGAGGAAAAAATGAAATCCCCACCTCCCTTTTTTGAGTGAGAACAACTTCCTGTGTTTGGTCTGGCATGGCTGTCCCTCCACCTTTAGAAGGGCAGGGAATAGCTTGTCTCTTACTGGTATTCTGCAGTCAGGAGTGGAGTAAGTGCTGGTGGTGGTGAGACCCACCAGTGTGCCTCAAAGTGCGGTCTCTGCAGTACGTTTTTATGCTTTATGGAGCAGGACTGGTACTGACACCACGCCTAGTCCAGGACATGCCTAAGGACACAGTTGAGTCCATAATCTGCAATACCACAGTAATTACATATTTTTCAATCTTAGAATATATATTTGTGAGGTTTGGGGTTGAGGGATTTTTTTCTTCTGCTGCGCTGTTTTTCTCTGCAAACAAAAGCAGATCTACAGTGCAGAAACAATGTCTTGCTCAGAGTCCATTTCTGCCCTTGCTGCAGTCACTGGCAAAGTTCACACTGAGGCCTTCAGGATAAGCAAGTAACTGCTCCTATTTTGCTCCCTACCCTGAAATATCTTGAGTTAGTTTTAATCCTTCAAGGCCAAGAATTCCACCATCTGACTGATCTGTGGCAGAAGTAATACTGGATTAGGAATCACAATCACAAGCTTGAGACAGCTGCCCTCACTCTCCAACTGAAGAGAGAAGCTAAGGCTGGACACAGTGCTTTAACTGTGTTCTGCTTGGAGATGGGGCCTTTCTGCTAATGCACTAGACATGAGCAGTTCAGCTGAGGAAGCTTTTGTTGCTTCTTTCCATGTTACTGCTGTTTGGGAAGTAAAATAAGAGCTTCAACATTTAAGATGGACACTGTGCTGCAGCAACCTGATCAAGCAAAGTTCTCTCTGCACATGAAGATTCCACATTTCTACGGCCTTGATGGTATAAAAGTAAAAGCACTAACACCTACATTAGGTGACACACATGAATTTTCTGCCCAGTATCTGCAAAAGAAGAACTACCTGTTCCAGGTGCCCAGTTCTCTTACAAGCTGTACCTCTTACAAACTTCAAGACTGAGTCTATACAAAATGAAACTGGTAGAAACAGTTATGCTGATTTCACAGATATTAATCAGTTTCTTAATCTACATGATTGTTTTCATCCAAAGTTCTGATTAAAAATTGTTGTTGAAAACAATATTTATTCTTCTTCACAATTGTTATTTGCAGGCACCAGTGATAAGACAGCCACCAACATTGATTTGTTATGTATGTGGCTGTGAGTACGGAACAAAATCTATTAGTATCCATGAGCCACAATGCCTGAAAAAATGGCACCGGGAGAATGACATGCTACCCAAGCATTTGAGAAGGCCAGAGCCCAAAAAGCCTGTAGTCAGTTCCATAAAAGGTAAGCTACAAAAGAGGAAACGGGAGGAAGAAAGTGGGAGGAAGAAAAAAAAATGATTTTTAAGCAGTAACTAAGTGGTTTGCAAGTACTTCTTTCTCCATTTAACTTTGAAGAGAAGGTGGTCAACATGGCTTGCTTAAGCTTTCTGTTGAGTATCCTGTTCTCCTGTGTGGCATACCTGAGAGTAAGAGTAGTCATTGACTTGTGAGATATGCCTCCTGGGACGGTTCTCTTTCTGTGTCAGTATATTCTAAACCAAAACACACAAAGATTAGCAACCTGTTTTGCTGCTGCATCACTACATTTGACTACTTTCCACGCTGTAGAAAGGCAAGTTATAAAATGGGCAAAAAGCGTGCAAGAATAGTGTGCAGATTTTACACATGCAGTCACTAAAATAGAATAACTTTCAGGCAACAAGAAAGATACTTTATCTGGATTTTACACTTACAGCATTGATTATAAAAAAGAGCCGGATACTAAGTATTAACTTAGGAGTGGTAAACAATAAGTGGCCTCAAAAATAGGAGTTCTGTTGTAAAATAATAATTACATTAATAGATGCATGATGACTGCTAGAAAATAAAGTATTTTTAAATTCTACCTACTACAACCTGTAGTTTCAGGTTTTTATTGAAATATAGGTAAAAATGCAATATCTTCTCTAATGAACATCTGATGGATGTTATTGATCCCATTTTATTTATAACCCTCAGAAGCTTTCTTTGTGAGACATTATAATATAAATACAGTGGGGAAAATATGTGTAGCATAAAGCAAACATTTTATTTCTGCCAATTATGTGTGTGTGTGTGCGCTGTGGGTAGGTTCTGTTTTGTTAGATGCTTAGATACCACGTCTTCAAATCAATGAAAAACTGACAGTGCCCAGCACCTGACAGAGCAGGGCTTCTATATGCATCCCAGGGCTGTGTGCTCACTGTCGGACCAAAAGCAAATCTTATCTGTACTTTGCCTGAAAGCTGCTCCCAGGACTTCTCCATTCCCACACAAAGTTATTTCACCGCTTCAGCTGGATGTTTTACCTGGGCCTGCCAGCTGGTCCAAACTACTTTGGGCCAATTTTGGACCACTTGCCCACAGGCAGTTAATTCATCCACTTTTTTTTATATTCCCCATGACTTCCCATAGCCTCCCCTAATGTCTGGAAAAGCAGACAAATTCTCCACTGTGAAAGAGGAATACGCTAGATCGGTTTACAGCAGTACAAAGAAATATGTCCCCAGAAGACACACATGGAAGAGAGCAAGATCACTGAGAACACTAACCTGCTGTTCAAAATAATCATAATCACAGCTCAAATAATACCAGATTAGGACTTGATTAACAGTGGCCAAGCAGCAGAGTTGAATCTGCAGTAAAAGACAAATTCAAAAGACATTTTCATTGTATTTTTTCTTCTTGTTTTTAAGCTCTTTTTAATTATTCCATGTTGTGTGGTAAAAAAGATGGAGAAAATGAGAATTCCATCTGAAAGAGGAAGATACAAAAGGACAAATCAGGTTATTTTGAAATACACTATTCTTGTTTTGAAGGAGTGGACGCAGAAAGACAACCACTCTTTGGGAAACAATCCAGCAGAAGGCTCCCAGATATGGATCAGAAAATTGTCTCATTTATACAACGAGTCGTATCAGACACTGCATATCTCCTATAAGGTGTTGTGTGCCCACAGTTTCTCAGGGGACACTGACCTGCTTCCAGCATCTGTCCCTAAATGCCTGCTGATGCAAGTCTGAGCAGTTCTGTAGCTTGAGCTAAAATTTTTGTTCCCTCTGCAGTTGTCTCATGCTCCTGGCCTAGAGAAAATAATCTCAGTGTTGTTCTTTTTCCGTAAGACTTACTCTCCATCATCTGGTAAATGCTATAACTGACCTTGAGACCACATACACGTACTGCATGTCTCACAGTTTCTCAACTCAGGGAGGAGGGATTACTTCTGTTGTTGAATGGAACAAGCAATATTCAAAAAAGCTCAGAAATATTAACTGCTTACATAAAACTTTTTATAACTGACATGTTTCTGAAAACTTAAGTGTCACAGGAAGAAAACCACTACCCTGATTACACAGGGTTTTGTTTGTGGAATGCCTAACACATGCCTGCAAGGAGAAAGTAATCTCTTTCTCTCTCTTTTTTTATATTCAATAAACTTTCCAAAGTACAGAAAATACACATTCATTTCCTGCAAGCAAAGGGGATATTTGTCTCAGCCAAGAAAAGAAACACTACTTGGTTGCTCTTCTAACAAAAAGAACATTAGGAACAGGCATATTAAGAGATCTAAGGCTTATTGTGGTTATGTGAATCATTGGATATGAATCATATTAAAACTGTATGGGCCTTTAATGAAGAGGTCTATCATGGGCCAATGACAGAAACCATGGAATATTTTAAAGTGCACAAATCCTTTTCTTTTAAAAATTGTCTGCTGCTAACAGTTCAAAGACAAAACCAGTTTTTTAGTCTTTTTTCTGTATTATCATACATCTATAAATTGAGCCATGTAGATTTTTTTCCTGCATGTACTTTAAATAAGAACTTTTAGTATCTAAATCCAGCTATTAAGCAATCTACCTGGTCTTTTTGGAAATCAGTTTGAAACAACACTATGTGAAAGCCCTTTTCAAGATGAAGGTCCATTTTGAGATAAGAGTAAACAAGATTTTTTTTTATACTCACATAAAATCTTGAAAAGACATCTGATGTGAGTGTTTGAAGAATTCTCCTGAGCTTTCTGAGCAGCAGCTCTTCCTGCAGTGGAAAATAACTGTGGTCAAGAATGTATTAGTGTTTAGATGATGAGAGATGCATCAGTGCAACGGCCTCACTGGAAGCTGTGGTTTAAAGGAACTGTAGGTTTTGTCCATAACGTTTTAAGTAAAGCTTCCTTAAGCTTTACTACACTTACTGGCAAAACTTGCATAGACTTTGACAGGAGGAAAATTGAGCCTGTTGTCCAGAGCAGTACAAAGAGTGTATGCTCAAGTACGATATGCTCCTGCCCACTGCCATTGTCAGATAACATATGCCTATTAAACAGAACTTGAAGTAAAGTTAAAAAGTGAAAGTTGCTGATAATTGTATGCAAAGTTGTTAATAAGTAGCTGAGAATGCATATCATAGAACACAGCATGTTTTCTCTGTACTCTTATACAAGACAAAACAATTCAGTTTGAAATTAATTTAATTCAACCCCAGGGACAAAAAGCAGAGACTTTTAAATATATTTTTTACTTTTTTGCTTCTTTCTTTTCTTTCTTTTTCATTTGCAAAAGCAATAAGGTTTGGTTAAACTGAAAGGCTCAGTCAACAGGTATTTCCTGAAAATATTTTCCATAAAGAGTTGAATGTGGGTCTCCAGAATGAAAGCTGATACTTTCTTTTTTTAATTTTCCAGCCAAAGGTTTCTATGATCTTGATTCTTTAAAAGAGGCTACCTGGACCAGCGCCCAGAACCAGCTAGTTCCATGTGATATTTGTGGGCGTACTTTCCTTCCGGACACACTGATCGTCCACCAGCGGTCCTGTAAACTGAAATCTGCAACGTGAAGTGGATGTACCACATATGCATACATATGCGTGAGTGCTCACACACGTGTGTGAGTGCATGTGTGCATGGATACACATGCAAGCACCCATACCTTTCAGCCAAACCATGAGAGAAATAAAATCCAGCTGGAGAGCCATGGACATCAAATCTGTAGTGTGTAGTCAGATCACATGATTCAAAAGCCCTAAAAGTAAAATCAGCAGTTGTTACTCTGGTGTAAGGTCAAATACTGTGATTTTTTTTAGCAGAAGTAGCAAAAATGCCTCCTCATTTCTGTTGTTCGGGTAGGGTCACCTTGAAACTACAGTTTGAGAGGGATAGCATAAGAATACTTGAATGTTAACTACCATCTTCCTTCTCCTAGTCCTGTGCTTTGTTGGGTACAGGAGAACTGAAGTGATTAATCCTCCCAGGTTGCTTTCTGAATCACTGTGCTATCTTCATCTCTGTTGGTCAAATGAGGGATGTTCTTTAGCCTCACTCCTTTCACAGCCTTTCAGATTTAACTGTCTGGACCTCTGAAAGAAGTTGGGCCTTCTGTCTGCATTTCCCATTTTACGTGACAAGTTTGGGTTATTTTGTGTTCAGCAAAGGAATGCAAAAAATGAGCCATGACTGTTAGGGGTCTTTCACTGCAGAGATCCCCAAGAGAGTATCCCACAAGGATCCATATTGTAGTCTTGCTTTTCAACAGATCTGTGAGACTGGGAGAGGTGGTATAATGTCAGGACCTCCCTTATCAACACGGACATTTGGCTGCATGTCCGTTGCTCAGTGAACGGAAGCTTCAGACAACTTTTAGGAAATGAGAGTTTCGATGAGAAGTAGCTCATTGAATCTCAGTGGAAGCAAAACCAGACTGATGTTGATCAATTACTGAAAACTAATTCTTTGAAAATTTTGTTTCCTCTCTGTCAAAGACTTGTCTAGTTAGTGTAAGGACCTCCAGCTGGATTTGACTAATCAGAGAACACAAGTAGAATCACAGAATCACAGAATGTCAGGAGTT